GGTTAGCTGAAAATGTGTTATTGATGTTCGCTCATGTGAATTGAAAGCATTTCCAAATGTCAATGCTGCACGGTTTATGTCATGCGATGCACTTTTGCAATGGCTGCAACTATTTGACGCCATATATATCAATTGAATTTATTTGTATTTCTCTTCCTCCTTTTTTTTTATTTGTATCTCAGTCTCTTTCATATTTCATTAATGCGCACGATTGCGCTTTATTTGAGTGGAGCATAGTATTTTGGTTTTTGCTCTTTTCTCTGCTAAATTTATTGGCGAACTATGCCAGCTGCACGTACATTGAAAATCCAAAATCGAGACCTGTTCACCAACTATTTGCATCTTCACTTTCATTATGCTGCATGTTCGTGGCTGTGAGAAGACTTGTGGCAATGAACTTTGGCCAATTCAGGCGAGTTCTGGTTGCTTTGATTCTCGTATCAATTGCATCTCAACTGGGAGCTAAGCTGTCAAACTAGTTTGCTGAACGAAACCGAAATGAAGCTGGTTTACAAAGGGGGTGGGTGCGGCTGTTGCGGTGTTGCGGTGTTGCGGCTCCTTGTGGTACGTGTTGCATGCCACATGTGGAACGCAATATCATGGCAAGCTTAAGAGCAGTTCTTAAAGAGCCACAGGCAGCAGCTTAAGCTTGCGACAATTGCTTAGAGCACGATGTAAGATATTCAGATATTCTCATAATATATACTATATAAATGTATACAAATGTTCTATACCCTCTCGATATGGCCGCTGGGCAAATGCATATAAATGAGGATTACAGATATATTTAGGCATGCGGGCGTGTATAAGGATTTGGTAGGGCGTAGCTAGGCACAAGCGAAACAATCAAATGCCAGGCAAATGCTTAAAGTGAACATGCAAAGAGAAAATAGACACAGAAACTGTGCTAAGCATCTACACAAACACACACGCACATCCAATACACACACACACTCATAGCATTATGCAGAAGCAGACAATAGATTGCCTTGGGTTTGCTATTCATTCATTTGCCTCGATGTCCTTTGCATGTGTGCCTACGGGGGCGTATACGTAACGGCACGGTCGCTGCCTCCATTCGAACTGGCAACTGGCTTTGTTCAACATGACAAAGACATGACAGCAGACGCGGCTCAGAAAAAATTGCGCTTTTTGTAATGCTTTTAATGCTCTGGCTAAAATTTCGCTTGGATTGATTTATGACAAGCCATTGGACCGGGCCGTGTGAGTGAGTGTGTGGATGGCTTCCATGGATCCAAATCAATGGGCTGCCTTAAAGGTCGCAGCGAGTGCGGCATTAATGGCAATGTAATTGCGGCAAGTTATGAACGCCAAGCACAAGCTCAAAATGTCTTGGGCGTTCAGTCGTTTATCGACTCATTTATCGATATCATTTACCGATTTCGATGGCTATTTCGATAAGAATTCATCAACTTCGATAACTGTTTATCGACTTCCGTCAGACTCAGAGAAGCCCTGATATACTTACATAAATATATACATATGAGTTAAGGCAGATGCATGACAAAAGCTGACTGCTATAAAATTCGTTAGATGGTACACTTTTGAAACTTGTGATCATCATTTGCTTGCTAAATAAAAGGAATAGCCTTATGAATGCTTATGAAACTGTGATAAACTCTTCTAGTGAATGTTACAAAAACAAAACCTGAAACTTGAGCTAAGACAACTGCATGACAAAAGCTGAATGCTACAAGACTCCATGTAAGGTACATCAAAGTCGAAGGCTAAATAATCTGAAGCTTATGTAAATATAGATCCTCATTGCATACGAAATAGAAAATATAATCAAATCATTCACATAAATATATATTATCTTAGTTTAGGTTTTCAAGCAAAAGCTAAATGCAATGACACTGCATGACAAAAACTGAATGATATGACACTCTATGTATGGTACATCTATGAAACTTGTGATCATCATTTGCTTGCTAAATAAAAGGAATAGCCAATAAGTCTTATGATTATGAATGATTATGAAACTGTGATAAACTCTTCTAGTGAATGTTACAAAAACAAAACCTGAAACTTGAGTTAAGACAGCTGCATGACAAAAGCTGAATGCTACAAGACTCGATATAAGGTACATAAAAGTCAAAAGTTAAATAATCTGAAGCTTATGTAAATATAGATCCTCATTGCATACGAAATAGAAAATATAATCAAATCATTCACAAAATATATATTATCTTAGTTTAGGTTTTCAAGCGAATTTATGGCAAAAGCTAAATGCAATGACACTACATGACAAAAGCTGAATGATATGACACTCTATGTATGGTACATCTATGAAACTTGTGATCATAGTTTGCTGGCTAARTAAAAGGCATAGCCTTATGAATAATTATGAAACTGTGCYAAACTCTTCAAGTGAATGTTACAGAAACAACACCTGAAACTTGAGTTAAGACAGCTGCATGACAAAAGCTGAATGCTACAAGACTCGATGTAAGGTACATCAAAGTCAAAGGCTAAATAATCTGAAGCTGATGTAAATATTGATCCTCATTGTATACGAAATAGAAAACATAATCAAATCATTCACAGAAATGTATATTATCTTAGTTTAGGTTTTCAAACGAATTTATGGCAAAAGCTTAATTCAATGAGACTGCATGACAAAAGCTGAATGCTATGGCACTCTATGGATGGTACATCTATGAAACTTGTGATCATAATTTGCTTGCTAAATGAAAGGCATAGCCATATGAATGAATATTAAACCGTGCTACGCTCTTCCAGTGAATGTTACACAAACAAAACTTGAAACTTGAGAGACAGCTGCATGACAAAAGCTGAATGCTACAAGACTAGAATAAGGTACATCAAAGTCGAAGGCTAAATAATCTGAAGCTGATGTAAATATTGATCCTCATTGCTTACGGAATAGAAAACATAATCAAATCATACACCGAATTATGTCCTCAGCGACTATATGGAAAAACTAAATGCTCTAAGACTGCATGACAGAAGCTGAATGCTATGAAACTTGTGGAAATCTGACTCTGAAACTGTAAGCCAAATCAGTCACTGTGCAGTATTTGGCCGCGGTTCTTATTGGGCACAGCAAAAGCAAAAAGCGCAAGCCTTGCTGGTGAGCTTGGCAAACGGCAATGCCGTTTTGGCCAAAACAAAGGATACTTGGCTCAATCAGCGAACAAACTGCAAGTTTCTCTATAATCAGCCCTGAGAATTCACTCTTCTCTTCACACACTACGTGCTGAAATTGAAAATACCTTGGGTTAGTGAATAACTCTTTATGCTTTGCAAAGTTCTGCAGAGTGGGGGATATTCATTCATTTTGTTTTGTTTTGTTTTGTTTGTGCTGTTGCTGTTCAACACTCATTTGCATAAAGAAAACTTGCTAATAATGGCAACTAAGTTGCCTGCTGATACACTCAAAACACACGCACACATACACACACACACAAGGACATACTAATACATATATGTCGGAGATGACAGTATTATTCGAATAGAATATCTTATCGATATATCGGTTCATGCATAGTATTGGGTAATATTGATAGAGTGAGATGTTAATTAACACTAATATCGAGTGTGGTCCTGACGAGGTTGCCAGTTGGTTACGATAGATGTAATCGAACGTACTAGTGAAAATCGGACAGTTGATTAGCAAGAGGAAGAAGGGYAACAGTGCAGGAACACGCTGCACTCCACAAAATTATCTAATCTGCAGAAATATCCGACATATATAACATTAGAATCACACAGCAGCTGGCAACAGCAAGTTTTGCATAGCTTAGATGAAGTTTTTGATTGAGTTTCAGCTATGCCGCCTAATACATGGCCGCTCTCAAGGGATTTTCCCAAGGTGTTTTTCCTAAGCGTGTTTTCATCTCTCGCTCATTATGTTCGCCTGGCTGTCGGCAAAGTTTTCGGCACTCAATCTCCGTCATAATTATCGCAGCAAAACATTTGCTTTTGCTTTTTTCACTTCTCTCATTTTCCGCAGGACCTTTTTGTGCATGTTCAAAGTTACTTTAAAATATATGCAAATGACAAACTGGGCGCCAAATTGTGACATCTGCAAATTCTTGCGACCAATTACACAAAAATTAATTTGCTGGTTGCCCAGCAAAAAAAAAAAAAATAATAAAAAAGTAAATATAGCACGAGATCCCTAATATTCCAAAATGAAAATGTGGCTGCTTAATTTATGTCATTTCATTGACCGAACGGCATTTGCATTGAAAATATGCAAATTAGTGAATCCCCGACTCAACAGTTGCCACGCCCAGCTGCCTCGTCAGGCTGTAAAACTTTACGCCTGATTTCAAATGCAAAAACACAGCTACAACTTTTGGTTTCTAACTTTCGTCCGACAACTGCAACAAACAACAACCATGACTTGCCATGGATTGTCTGAAAATGCTCTCGATCTCATTATATATATAGTGGAGCGTTACCTAAGCATGAACGATGATGAGCTATGAACTAAGTTAAGCTTTGTTTGATTTGGCCAGTCAAGCGCTACAGGCCGTCGATATACCAACAGTAGCCAAGAGCCACAACCATCTTTCCAATCAAACAATTTAGCATGAGCATTAGTCAGAAAAAATCGTTAAAAACTTATTAAAATACGCTACAAGAGATGGGTATACTGAAAGCGAGCAGGTAAATTCAACACCGTAGATTGACAGAACTTTTTTGTTTTACGAGGTTTTCGTTCTGATGGCTATCAATGTGCATAAATATATGTGGATAAGTTGTATTTCAGATAGATTTATTGGCAAGAGAGAAAAGAGTGTGATCCTTGAGGATAGAAACTTGGGATAGTATATAAGGATATATGCATATATACTTATATATCTATATATGTACATGTATGCCTGGTGAGGGTATACACTTTTCGAACAATTTTGGATAGATATTATTTAACATTTCATACTCGACATCTACTAATACTACTGATTCGACTTCATTGGGCGCAATAGCGTTTTGCAAAGTGTCGGAAAATGTTGTTTGCCTTTGTGCTGCTCTTGTTGGTGGCAGAGATTCACTCGGCCATTCAATCGCGGTTCACAAATATTGAGTGCAAGATGCTAGATCCATCCTATGCCGTCTATGAGCAATGTAAACTGAAAGTTCTTGGTCGTGGTATCGTTGGATTGAATGTAAAAGCGACCCTGAAGAAGGGCCCCTTCAATAATGCCAAGGTACGTTGCTTGAGCTAATGGAAACCAGCTGACTTTTTAAATTCAAAGATCAATATGAGCCTTTGGCGGAAATTTAATGGCTACCATCCCTTTCTTGTGAATTCCACCTTTGATTTCTGCAAGTATATGGACAAGTCAACCAGGAAAATGTCATATGAGAAAGTGCTTATGGATTACTTAAATAAAAACTCGAACTTGAATCATTCTTGCCCTTACGAAGTAAGTTCATATTTTGAAAAGATATTTCACTTGATTGATATGTGTCTTTTCCAGGATAGTATAATTATAAAAAACCTGGTCTTCGACGCCAACTTTTTCAAGTTTCTCCCATGGCCACCAGGCAACTATATGTTCCAGCTTATGGCAGCTACCGATAACGACTGGAAAACAGTCGTTAACGTACACTTCATCAATACTGAAATCAATGACTGAAACAAGTACATTGAATAAATATCTTGTGAATTGTTAAAGCAACAAAAAATGCAAATTGAATTACATCAATTTAATAGTATTATGTAGACTTTTTAGTATACTCATATATGCTTATAGAACGAGTAATTTAAATCGTGTGACCACATTTGTCTTGTAGTTAATTACATCAGTTGAACAAATCAGAATTCGCAATGAAACGATAGATTTACGAGTAAATATTATGAAATATTCGATTCTAAATCCATTAGGGTATACGAAATATGAGAAAAATGAATGGAAATGAGCGATTGTTAGACATTATAGAGCATTGATAATATCTTCTATTTCTGTACTACCTTGGTTAGGTACTACAGCTACAGACCATTATTTGATATGATGCTTTGGCCTTCACGAAATAAATTCCAATTAGAGGCTACATCACTGATTTGTAAACTTCGTGGAGCGCACATAATGTAGTTCAATTTACATTTGTGCATCGAGTTTAATTAGTGCAAGAGAGGCCACAAAATGCGTTGCCCGAATGCATAGTTGATTACGCTCGATTCGATTTGGGGCCTGACAGCCGCAAATTAGCATTTTGATCTAGTTCCGTGCCAAATGTGTTTGAGAGCTCGTTTTTGCTGCCATTAAATGCGGTCAGTGCTAATTATGCCGAATTGCGAGTCTGAAATCCTCTCTCAAATGTAATATTATCCGAAAGTTTGTCCAGAGCAAGAATATATTCTCTCATATCTGAATGAACGATAAAGGGAGAGCTTTTTGATTAAGTTGTTACGGTTGAGCAATTAACTATTAACGTCATTGGCGTGAAGATGGTTGTAATTAAGATAAATTGTGAAACCATATAATAAAGCTACTAGATCTAAATGGTAATTTATGCATGAGTTATTAGGATATATTTGCGAAAGGTTCAAGAATTAATGAAAGCAGATAGAAATTATATTGAAATTATATTGAAATTATACAGTGACGAGCAAAACTGTAACACGAATTCATTGTTGCAACTTTAAGAGTCTGTATTTTTGCTTCTACTATATGGATGTTTAAGATCTTAATTTTATTTTGTTAGTATGGTATTTAGCTGTCTTACCTGAAAATTTGAMATCATTCGGTTGACTGGAATAATTATAAGAAATAAAAATTTAAAGAAAGTCAAATGTTACAGTTTTGCACCTGGGTCATTTTTCAACAAATGTATTTATGAAATAAAAATTTAGATTCTGCATGGATTTTCTAATTTTAATTGCGCAAAAAAGTAGGCAACGAAATCTTACAACACTTTATCAGACTCAGGTCTAACAGCGGGAGAAAAACGGAGCTCAGCTTGTCATTTTATCAAGTATTGACATGCACAAGCGGAACAATCTTTCCAATCAAATGGTTAATAAAAACAAATTATGTGATTTTGATATATTGTAAAAAATATATCCACCTCTTTAGGGTATACTAAGATGAAAGTTACTGCCTCCCCATCAAAAATGTATATATTCTTATCTCATTATCATCATGATGTTATATGAGTGAAGTCTTTTAACATTGTAAAGAATCTAAATTATTTGTGACTCTGTTGTCTTCTGATTTTGAGGATATGATTACAGTATTAAAAGTGTTAGATTTATAGGGTAGATATTGTAGGGTATTCTCAAGTTTAATAATCCCGTTCAGTTTGTACAAATATGTCAATTCAGATAAATATGTCTATATCGAAATTGAGTGTTCCATTCCAGTTAAAGATTCGCTTCCGACTGAATGTGACAATGTGGCTCCAATTTGTAATTCTCTTATTGGTGAAAAACGCTTTTTCGTTGGAAGTGACCCGCTTCACGAACGTCGAGTGCGAGATGTTGGATCCATCATATGCTACCTTCGAGCAGTGTGAACTTAAAATACTTGGTCGTGGGATCATTGGCTTGAACATATATGCTAAACTGAACAAAGGACCCTTTAACAATGCCAAGGTAGCTAATGCCAATAAGATAATTTTGGGTCTAGCTAATTGAAACTTTCTTTTAGATTAATATCAGTCTTTGGCGAAAGTTTAATGGTTATCGTCCATTTATTTTTAATAAGACATTCGATTTTTGTAACTATATGAAAAACCCAAATGGGAAATTGTCATTTGAAAAAATATTTCTGGACAGCATCTTTACTAACTCAAACTTAAATCACTCCTGTCCATTTGATGTGAGCCAAAATGTGTGAGATAAATGATTTTGATTGATAGATTTAAATTTTTTTTTTTTTTTTACAGAATGCTATAATTGTAAAAGACTTGATAATTCAGGCAGATTTCTTTAAGTTTATGCCATTGCCTACTGGCCAGTATAAATTTCAATTGATGGCAGCAACTGACAAGCAGTGGAAGACAATTGTCAAAGCATTCTTTACATTTTCAGAGGAACAATTAAAGATTTGAAAGTATGTATATGAAATATATTTAATAAATAAAAACGATCTGCTTATAGTGGTTGTTTATTGTATAGAGCTTTTACGCACCCAAAATCAAAACTTTAGCTGGAAATACTTTATGGATATAAAGCTCTTCAATTTGAGTGCGCACAAGAGTAGGCAATAAAATCAAAATGCGATTAATTCCAGCTATGTAAATAAATGTTAATATTTCATTTTGTTATTTATTTGCTACATGGATTTAACTATATAAATATACAAATTAGATCAGAAATGTTTCATGAAAATTTATTTAAGCAGAATGAGTATATGTGACTGATATTTGTATATATATTCAGGAATCTCAGCCTAACGTAATCGCCTATTGTAATACAATCATAAGACCTTTTGTTATTTAAGTTGTTATGTTTTATATTCATTTATATTAATCCATGTGAATGCAGATCAGGTGTAAATAAGCTCAATATTCAATAGAGGTTACATAGTGTTTCAGTTTGGCTCTTATTTTCAAAATTGGTTTGTAATCTTTAAGTTGAATCAATGTTAATCTTTCATAATTTACTGCTTTTATATAAGTTTAATTGCATAAATTATGCTAGTCATTGGCATAACAATCTTGATCGTTATTCCAATGGTCCAGTGATTATGGATATTCACGCAGTGTAGTGGGCATATTGGCTAGCAGTATGGCCGATTGGCTATTCGCAGGTCTGGTCTTTATGTAATATATATTTCGATAATTATCGGGTATCGCCTATTGGAGGCTAGGCAGCTGGCATGCCTATTGGCCTATTGGCTACTGAGCTGATTTGGCTACTGATGATTTGTTTTTCATATTGTCATATTGCCTATCCAACTTTAGGGTTGTTATAACATTAATTTTCAATTTATTTAAATTCGTTTTAACGGGGGCTCATTTGAACAGTCGTTAATGGGCTTCGCAACCTGTCGCACAATGAGGCTTCCGTTCGCAATTCTCCTTTTGGTAACTAGTGCTCTAACTGCTGATATGTCCCGTTTTACCAATATCGAGTGTGAATCGTTGGATCCATCGAGATTGGCATTCCAGCAATGCAATCTCAAAATGCTTGGTCGTGGCATCGTCGGTTTGAACATATATGCGTCATTGAAGAATCAACCTTGGGACAATGCGAAGGTAAGCTGTGTGTGCTTCTTATAGATATAAAGTACGTATTTAGTATATGAATAATGTTTGTTTTAAGGTTTCTATCAGTCTTTGGCGCAAATTCAACGGATATCACCCATTCCTTGTCAATTCAACTTTTGACCTATGCAAATTAATGGCGAAGCCGACACAAAAAATGTCATTTGCAAAAATATTTATGAGCTACATGTTGGAAACCTCAAACTTAAATCACTCGTGCCCATACGAAGTAAGTAATTTTCGTTGAATACCTTATGACATATTAAATTGAATCTATTTCAGAATGAAATAATTGTGCGCAACATGATATTCAAAGAGGAGTATATGAAGTTTGCCCCATTGCCACATGGTCACTATAAGTTTCAGTTTATGGCTGCCACCAACAACGAATGGAAGGTTATTATTAATGCACATATATTACATACAACATCGTAAATAAAGTGTGAGCGATCAATACTATAAATTCAAATATATGCAAGATATAAAAATAAGTATTTTTTCTAAATTAAAATTTAATTCATATTTAATTGGTATTGAACTGTTGAAGATTTAGTTAATGTGAATTTAATATTAATATGAATTAATATGAAATATGAGAGCAGATTTCACAATCTAAAACTGACATAGTCCAGCAAACCTGACGAAAATCGATAAATTTATGAAAAATATTGCCTTAATAGACTCTTGCCATCGCTTAGGGCCTTGGGCCGTGTTTAATTTGATTTGCCGGCAATAGAGCTTTTCTGTGTGTGCGTCGACAATGGCTGCACTCTACTGCAGGGCATATCAAATTGAATTTCCCTTTGGGCCTGGAGCACAGCAGAATGCGCTTAAAGTGCCAATTGGCCCATCGATTTGCCATCAACAGCTATGGGGCCCTGTCTGCTTTTCATCTCTTCTTCCTCTCTCTCTCTCTCTCTATCTGTCTCTCTCTATCTCTCTCTAAGGCTGATGCCATAAAACACGCGTTAAATTGCAATAACCAGCAAATCCAACCAACTTTTCCTGTCCATCCGCATCAACATTTTCAAAGATAAAGCGATACGTCAATTATCTGGATGCGAAGCTGAATGCCTGGCTCTCTGGCTCTCTGGCTGTCTGGCTGCCTGGCTCTCTGGCATCGAGAACAAAAGTGGGGGAAAATAAGGGAAAACAAAAACTAAAGCAATAAAACGTTTCGACAACATTGAAACCTTGTCAACGACAGCCGTAAAGGTATCAGTTGACACTTTCCACCAATCCCCATTTGAAAAACGTTTGATTTATGTCAACTTTATCGACTGTGAAGTGGACACCCTATGCCAGCAATCTACTAAGAGGTATTCGCCATAAAGTACTTTTATGAAACTAACTAAAATGGCAATTAAATCTATATTTATGAACTGTTTTGAACTGTTATTTATAATATTAAAAAAATATCGTTTAATACTTTTTCACTATTTGAATATCTATTTATTAAAAAAAAAGTATTTTTTATATTGATATTATAGTATATTATATATACTTTTGAACTATTTTTTGTTCAACCGATGAATAAGTAGCTCGCACAGGAAAATGGCAAATGCCAGCAGCAAAGCAGTTGCCCAGCCCAACCAGACATACATCAAGTCGTTCACCTTAAAGTCATGAAAGGGCTCATATGGATACGGATCCTTGAGGCTGATCTCGCCCAGCGTCATAAAGTCGCGCAGCGACTGATCCATCCAGTACGAGACAAGGCCCGTGTCCTTGACTTGAATCATGAATTGATGCAGTGGCTCGGCGTAGATGGAGTTCGGCGGCAATGGCATCGATGCGAGTATTTTGGAGCGAAAGACGAGATCGGGTTGGTAGCACAGCACAGGTCGTTTGAATAGTTTCTGTTGCTGCTTGTAAAACTCCCAAATCACTTCCGTCATAGAAAATGCTTTCGATTTGCTAAGCCTTTTGCGCATCCTTTCAAACTCCCTCGCATCCAGGAAGACGATCTTTGATCTAACGATATGAAGGGGGTTCAGTTTCGACATCTTATTCACATAGAAATGCTCGTCTTCGGTGAAGTGAATATCGAGATGAGAGTCGCGTAGCTCCTCGAAATTGGTGACCATTCGTTCCATGGGTCGCTTGGTGAGCAGCGTCTTCAAGTGGACGGCGACAAGCGTGCTCAGTATGAGGCCCAGCAGAAAGAGTTGAGCGTGAGCTAGCCGAGAGCTGTTCATTTCATGGGCCTTCAGCCGGCTCGACTGCCCGATTAGGCCAGAGATGATGCGCTCATTGAAGTACAGGTTTGTCCAGTCCACTTGCCGATCCATCAGCAGCCAGCCAAAGCAGGTGTCCAGCAGGGCGAATATGTAGTAGCTGGCCAGGAGCACGATCAACATGTTGCGACTGACCACCATTAGGTAGACCTTGGCCGTAGCTATCTCCTGGGCGCAGGGCACGATGATGAACCACTCGGAAATGTCGTAGGGATACGTAAAGGCGCCCTCAACGGTGGACAGCTCATAGCCGCACAGTGTCATGGGCAAATCGAGTGTTCCATTCAGCGTCATGTTGCGCAACAGAATCATGGATATGTGTTCCACGGTCTTCAGCTGCTCCTCCCACTGCAACGATATGTTGTGGACGCGTGCGAACTCCATCAACATCATGGTCATGGTACCAGTCAGACGTGTCTTGCCCGTCCTCCAGTCCGTGTAGGACAGCGCGGACGGCACCTGTTCCTCCGGCAGAGTGCGAGCCATGCGCTGATGGTAGTTGTATTGCCTGGCGAAGATCGGGCTGCTGTTCGAGTGCAGCAGCAGCCAATCCGTGTCCACATACGGCTGCAGCTGATAGGCTTTGCCCGACTCCAGCAGCAGCAGCACCACATGCGGAAACAGTTGCTGGCGAGCCGTGTTGGCTATTTCGTGGAACTGTTGATCCGTTGCCCGCTGCAGCAGCAGCAGCAGTCGAATATGCCTCATGTTGCTCAAGTTGCTGGCCAGCGCCTGCCACATTTCCGCATCCAGCCGCCCACTGCCAGTCAGGCAGATCAGGGCAAGCATCTCTGTGTTTTGGCTCTGCTGCAAATAGAAGTTGGCATCGCTGTTGAGCCGCAGCAAGGGCCACGTGGCAGCAGCTGCCACTTCCTCCATTTGGCTGCACTGCAGCTGGCGCCTGTGCCGCAGCAGCAGGAGCGTCTCGAAGCGCTGCTCTCCATAGCTACGTTGCAGCAGCTCATTTGGTGTGAGGGCCAGATTCGGCATACAGCCGAGCAGTAGCCACAGGACTCCAGTTACAACCTCTGCTTGCCACATGTTGCGGCTGTCTGTTTCCACTTGGCTGCAGCTCTGCCTAAAATGTGGTTTATCTCTGGCATCGCGGCTAATTAGCTGTTAGCGGTCGATAGCAACGTCTATATGGAGTTGAGCAAATCCACAGTGCCTGCCATTAATGAACGTCGCGCCTTCGCGCTTACAACTGCCAATGAGCTATTGACAGACATTTAATACTACAATTAAAACGATTAATACTAAAAGCTTGAAAGCTGACTAAAATAATTAGTTTTTATTGCTAAGCTCATGGCGGTTGGGGCTGATGACAAAAAACATTCGTGTGATTTGTAATTTTGTATGAGAAATGCTGAATGGGTGGTGAATATTAGACAGGCCAAGGATTTCAAATTAAAAACCAAATGAAACGGTATTTAGTGATAAAGGACAAGTTTAATTCGTAAAGGCCCAGGGGTCACTCAGATAAGTGCTGTCATAATATATAATAATAAGTGGGAGTTGATATGCATATGTTCATTCATTTTTATAAAATTTCTATATCGGCCAAACAATTGTCTGGCGCTGACATCTCTCGAATTCTCTCTACAAATTCATTTGCAGATTTAATTTACTGTGCTCTAGCTCCACTGATGAGTGCCAAGCATACGAGCCATTCCTCAACAAAGAGCGCAAGATTTACTGATAGGATAACAAAGAGCAAGATCGTCTTCAATCTTTGTGGCTGCCAGCGTCACCAAGCAAGCTTAAACTCTCAAGTAGAATCTAAGTAGAGCAGATCAAACCCTTTAACTTATACCAAAACCCATACGTTTGCTTCACTCAGCATCTTCGCCACTTTATCAGTCAAGTAGATTCTTCCTCTCTCTCTCTCTCTCTCTCTCTCTCTCTCTCTCTCTCTCTCTCTCTCTCTTCAGCTAAATTTTGTACACAGACTGAGAAGCGCATAGACCTTTGTTTGTCTAGAAGAGAAAGACATAATAAGATTGGGTTTCATGTGAATTAATCAGCATTCTCAAAGTTATTATTTATTTGTACAACAAACTCTTCTGAATTTAAAATTTCTTGAAACAAGTATATTCAGTAATTTAATGTATAAATAGAACATAAATAAATATTCCGAAATACAACAACTCACAGACTCCTGACATAAATAATAGCTCTTCTTTATTTCAAAATTGCTTGAGCAAGGGATTTTTATTATAAATTTAACACAAATATTTAAAAATTTAATGTCAATGAATATATGAAATCTTTGGCAATCTCAAGTGACGCTTAAATCTATTTTATATCTGTAAATCTTCAAATCCACTTCACTTGACTTGGCCGACTCCATCAGCTTAAAGCGGCTTAAGCACTTGAAAGTATTTTGTTTTTTTTTTTTTTTTTGCTGCAAATAAGTTCACAGTTTAATTTGCAAGCAATTGGCTTTGGGCCATAACTCGACTCACATTTAAGAACTTTGTGAATATTTTAAGCTGTTAATCTGTATTACATATTTAATTGCTCTCCGCTCTCTCATGGCATGTCAAAGTTTGTGCTTCCTTTCATGGGAAACTCAACGTAAAGTAAAACTTTTCAACAACTTTATGGTCCATGCGACGACTTGTGAAATTCTGAGCATTTGCATTTGGGTTTTTCTTCTCGCGTTTTTGGCTTTTACAGCTCTTTCAATTAGACAAGCGAATGCCAAAGATAGCAGCACATGTGCATATGCCGCACTCTTCTTCAGTTCACGTTCACATTCACATTCGCATTCGCATTCGCATTCATATTCATATTCGTTTTCGTACTTATGTTCATTCCATTTCATACTTTAATACCATTTGAAGAGACTCGCGCATTAATTTACACGTCAGTGCATATTTGATTTTATTTTACTTCCATTCACAGTTGTCATGGGAAATGCACGTCTACCAGTTTCTCGGAATATGTTGAATATATCCTCTGATCGGGGCAGTGTGAGGTATGCTCAGCCAGGAAGTGTAAACGCAACAGTTGATAAAGTTTACAAAGTGGAAAGGAAGCGAAGAAGCAAGCGACTGTATTGTTCTGGATGAAATAGTATGTGTAGCTCGACTAGAAAATACCCTGCATGCATATATACAAATAACAGCTGTATTGTTCTGGCTGAACCAGATTCGACTAGCTCAACTAGCGAATACCCTGCATACATTCATGCAAACCAGTTAGCGCATGTAGGGTATTACCAAGTCGGGCTGTGTCCTTTTTTGACACTTGTCTATTTGTTGTATTTGCATTTACATAGGACTCTCCGCCGCTGGCGCCGAATGCTGCGCACCGCGTTGACATGCATAAGATTGCAAAGAATTGTTGCTAGCATAATTTATGCCAAGGCACGGCAGCAGGAAGCGGCAACAACAAGGACTACAGCTGGCTACGGCGGGCTACGGCTGGCTGCCTGCCTATGTGTGTCTCGGCTGCTGTGCAGTGTGGCGTATACGTAATGTAACATTAATTGTATTTATTTGCTTTGTTGATTGATTTTACCAGAGCCTTCGCAGTCTGACAAAACCTGAAAGCCCGAAAGCTTACATTTTAATTTTATCCGAGCTCTTAAGGCTGCCTCCGCTCCCTACTCCCTGTCATTTGCTAGACAATTGCGTTTATCAAAGTCATTTTGTGTATCATTTGCGCATAGCCCACGGGCCGCTCCCTCGTCCATGCTCGCGGCGCACGCCCACGCCCACATAAATTAACGTAAGCTTAACGAAGCATGGATAAAATATCAGCAGCAACAACAACAGCAGCAGCAGCAGCGGAGGTTGACAATAAATTTATTGGTTTTTATCCACAGCTGCTTGGCCTGTGTGATGGGGCTTATCAAAAAAGGGCTCGGAATTGGAGCTCATCTGCGCTTTAATGCGACACATGTGCTGTAAATATGAATGCTAAATGCGTCCCATATATCTGGGGCTATATGTGAGCAAAGCGATTATCCTCCCTGACTAAATGACTGACTGAATGGGCTGACTGAGCTGACTGAGCTGGCTGACTTCTGATCAAAGTACGGTGCCATTCTCATAAATTCAATTAAATTTAACTGACTAGAGTGATAAGTAACGAAGGAGGAGGAGGTCTTAAAAGTGGAGTATAAATGGCATTAGGTGTGAAAATAGGACTAGAAGTAGGCAAAATTCGGCAGACGCAGTCGCTGTAGGTGGTAGAGTAAAGGAGTCGAGGAAATTGGAGGACGAGAAGAGCATGGGATGGAAGAAGAAGCATAAGATAAGGAATGACAGTAAAAAATGATATGAATTGCATATGTAAAATTAGGAAGAGTGGAAGTCTGAATAGAGGAAGATGTAGTAATAGAAAGAGAAGAATGTCATGTTGAAGATCTATCAGTAAGAAATATGGAAGATGGTATTAGTAGAATTGAGACTTGAGGTGACGTGAAAGTGGAACACTAAGTAGAGACAGAGGTATACCAGTAAACGAATGAGAATAAAAAATAAACGAAGATTAACGAAAGACATTGAGTATAACAGTTTTTACTTTACTACTTGAACTGTAACTAGATAATCACTATTATTAGTATTTGCAGAAGTATTCATGGAACAATATGTATATAATATATATATTAGGAATGGAAAGAAGACATTAGTAGCAGCCAGAACAAGCAATGTAGATATATACGTAAAATTCGTAACGATTGTCATTAGATATGTATGCGAATATATAATTTAAATTTAATATTTAAATATCCCATTAATTGATTTAAATTCACACACCTTAAATACAACAATATATTCCATGCTCTTAGGCGCTGCTCTGTAAGCCAAGTTGTTAATTGATTTGACTAAGGCTTTAAAGCTATAACAGCCGATTTGAAGCTTAACGCCTGCCATCTGACACACATCCACCGACATTCCATTCACATACACACACACACATGTGTACAACCAACCACCCACACATCAACACACTCGCACATCCACACGTTAGCAGGACAATCGGGAAAGTTTGCCTGAGGTAAGCAAGAAAAAAAAGTTTGCCAGCCACTTGGCAAGTGACTACATCGATGGGCTGTTGGCGCCGTTAAGTAAGGATGCTAGAGGACTCCTTCAGCTGCCGCCTTTCCTTTTTGACAATGTGCTCGGGCTAAAAAATGACAAAGCACGAAAGTTTTCTTAGGGGCACGCACTCTCGTTAGAGAACCATGATTGAACGCATTTCGGGGCACGCATATCCTGTTGAGATTTTAAAGCTCGATTCGCATGCGGCGTATATTAAACACGAAACGATTCTCTAGCAGACGGATGAAGAACTTTTCATTTAAGCTGTTAAACTGTGTGGCGAGTCGAGGCGAGCCGGGTGTTTGCCCCGTTTTTAATTAAAAAAGTGACCGGCCGGAAAAAGTTGGTAACAGGATTTTAGCGCATTTGCCAGACAACGCGACTGCCAGGCGGAGTTTTTCACTTAGCTCTTTTATTTGGCCGAGAGAAGTTGAAAGCGTGCTTCGCCGTCAATGGCAGCAGTTGAAATTTAAGTGCAACAAATATTTGTGCATTGAGTTCGATTAGAATTTCTGGCACTTGACGGGCTCAGCGATGCAGCCACAGCATAGTCGGAAATATATATGTATATCATCGTTCAGCATTGAATGTCAATCGAAACTCATCTCATATTTTTGTTTTTGCCCGCTTCTATTTTTGCTGTCTGCTCTTGTTGACATTCATCTGATGATGCCCGCAAAGCTTTGGCATATTTCTCATGAATACTATTTGCACCCATCCAAACACACACAAGAACACACGTGCCACACCTTCACACACACACACAGTCAGATATACGTGGATATACGTTGAGTTATGCGTGAGTATTCGTGAATATTTGTTGCGATTGAGCTGTCGTTGCTTAAGTAAAAAAAAAGATGCTGTGACAGCCTAGAACTCGTTACATATTTTGCTATTTGGCCTATTCCTGGAATTTCAAAAGGGATAGAGCTATGTGCCCTATGCTAGGCATGCAGACTTCCAGTTGGGACAGCTTTGATGTGGCTGAATATCAAGAGAAGAAGCTCAATTTATTTTTACACATTTATAAAGTTAACTTAAGCATAATAAGAATTATAAAAAAATAATACAATTTAATTGGCCGAGAGTTAATTTCTAATTTATAAGATCAGTTTAGCTAAAATGACATACTAAATGCTCGTATAATACTTGTTTATATGATTTATGAGTCGCATTACAGTACACATCGTTAAAAAGTCTAGACTGCGCGCTGAACTTGTTTGAGAAGTGAATTATTTAAACAAACTTCTGAGGCTCAATTGTCGCAAGACAATGCTTAAAAGTCGCTAAAAAGTCTTTGAACGCTTCGCTAAGAGCGCGGACAGGTGGCCAGCGACGACTCTCGCGACCGAAACAACAAAACCAAAACAGAGAAACGCGCCAAGCGTCAAGCACGTGTATTTGCCGGACGCTGATTGGCCAGCGGCTTTCGCTTTTTCGCCAGCACAGAGCGCATTCGCTCTCTCGCCTGCTCTCTTCGTGCGACTAAGAGAGCGCAACGGCCATACGCAAACTGGTTTGGCGGCACCCTGTATGGCATGCTGCTTGGTCGCTGGCTGGGGCCATACGACGATGAGGCGACACGAAACGTTTTCAGTTGTTGTTCGGCGTTCATTGAGTGCAGGCCAGGCGTATACGCAACGCAGCAAGGCTAACGGTTAACGGGCAGCGCGAATTCGTAACGCGTCGTCGAATATAACAAGAAAACAAAATCAACAAAAATCAGAAGTATAGTAAACAAGAAAAAAATACAAGATACGAAAAAACCAAAATTGGCAAAAATTTTGCATACCGGTTCCCACACAAAAAGCCGTTAAAATTTTGATTCAGTCAAGCGAGCGCTTCCTGTTAAGATCTTAAAAAGAAAAAAAATGTAAGGCAACGGCTTAACTTAATATTAAGTAACTTAATATCTGAATATTCCCGAGTATGTGAATAAGCATCTGCGTATCCAAGTATCTGAGTATCTGCAAATTTATGTGTATCTCTGCTAGCAACTAACTAGTGTTAGTTAGTGCTTGAGCCCTGTTGGATTTTCGCATTTGTCGCTAGCTAGCTAAGTGCTCGGTTCACAGGTCAAGTTCTTAGCCAAAAAGTCAGACACGCCCCGTTTCACACGCCCCGGCGCAACAGTTAACTCACATAAATTTGTATGCACACACAAAATACTGACGGGCATTTATTAAATATTCATAAAACTTGCCGTCGCTTAGCAAAAGAAACCAAAACAGAACTCTCCGACAGACAAACTGAAAGAAAAAATGTAGAGAACATAGCAACAAGTCGGCGCCATTTGGTCAACAACGTTGCCAACACTCTATCCATTTATTAACATTCGCTAAGAGTCGCTCGAAAAAAATAAAACAAAAACAAAGCTGCGCGTCGCCTCGGCTTCCCAGAATTGGCAGTTAATTTTTGAAAAAAAAAAAAGTATAAGAAATGAGCAAACCAACAAAATAAAACCGCAAAACCCACAGGAGAGACAGCAGCAGCTGAAAGCGTGTAATACGAGTTGTTGTGCGTGCGTGTGTGTGTGTGTGTGTGTATTAAAGAGATATATAGATGCAGAAGATCTCAAGCTACCCACGCAGAAAGCGCATAGAAATTGAAAGTTCCGCATAATTTGCAACAAAAAAGAAAAAGAAAAAGAGCTGAACTAAAGTGAAAAACTGATTACGCGACGCGTTCTAGATACAAAACTGCATACATACATATACGTATATCTATATAATATATACACTGACTTGGCTGGAGATACAATCGAGTTGCTTTGTGTCGAATCGTGTGCCAAAACCGTTGTGTTTATTATTTTTATAAAATATGACAGCAAACAGCCAGAAAAAACAATTCGAATTGGGTCTCGCTATGTGAAACGCAACGAATGCATCCATAAGATACAGATACAAACACACTCACAAACACAGATACACACACGCACACATACACACTCAGTGGACCGTGTGTAGCTAATATAATCAACGCTAAAGTTGAGTGCAATGACAAAATTGCTGATAACTGACCAATCGCCCATCTCAATCATTAATTATGTTTCAGTTTCTGCTTTGTCTCTGCGTCTCTTGGCCCGGAATTTCATCTCGTTTCATATATCGAAACTTCTGTTTAAAGCGAGACAACGTAAGGAATGTTGCAGCTGGAAAAATCTTTCGAAGCTCACGACTTATGCTAAATAGCTGAATAGAATCGTACTAAACGCTCAAGGTTACTACCACTCCTACCATACTACCACTCTAGCGATGTGTAGATCTTGTAGATACTTTTTAGCTGAGCTCAATTACATACGCTCGCTCAGCTATGTGGAGAATTATAGATATTTTTTCGAAATTTCTGCCACGGCAGAAAGTCAAAAACTTTTATTTGGCAATCAGCTAAGATTTATGTTTGTGTGTTGTATTAGCCCAAAGTATTTCATATAGGTACACGTATAGAGAGATATTCTGTTGTTTGTTGTATCGCGCCCTCTCTCTCTCTCTCTGTCTCTCTCTCTCTCTCTCTCTCTCTGTGTGTTCGGTTGCTTTGGCGCTATTTATAGGCGCGTAACACATACGCGTATAGCATGTATCTTATAGATACATTCTGGCTAGCTGCCTGGCTGCCTGGCTGCCTGGCAGGCAAAAACTTTTGCATCGACCTGCCTCTGCCTCTGCCGCTGCCACTGCCTCTGCCTCTGCCTGTGTCGGTGTCTGTGTCGCTACCATCGCCTCTGACTCGTTGCCCGTCTGGGCCAGCCTGCTCATAAATATAAAGCCGAAGCGACATTGGCGAGACAGTGCGCCAAATGGACGTCTGCATTGCCTCGCAGATCGACACAAAGGAATCCGGCCAAAAAAAAGGTTCTCTCTCTCTGCATCTCTCTCTCCCTCTCTTTCCCTCTCTCTCTCTCTCTCTCTCCCTCTCTCTCTCTCTCTCTCTCACTGGCTGTCTTTGTCTCTGTATCTGCAGATCTTGACAGCACTTGGCTATCGATTCTGCAACATGTTGCCGTTGCCTGTTAGCGTTTGCTTTGAAATCGAAAACAAAGTTGATGCCAGACGCAAAGGTAGGGGAAGAGGCAGCAGGCAGTCTGAAAGATGGCTGCAAAGGCTAGGGAGTTAACGCAGCTGGCACAGCTGGTCAGATTTGCTGATTGTGGCCATCAAAGCGCATAATTGTTGTGTATGTGTTTATTTGCCAGCTCAAAATAGCATATACAACAACAACAACAATAGCAATAACAGCAATCGTAAGGCTTTTAAGTTTTCCGCATTATTTGGAAAAATATTTTCCATAAGAAAAATGTGCGCAATTTTTGTTTCTTTGCTAAAAAGCCAAAAGAAAACAAAAGCCATTGGAAATCATGAGCTCCAAACCCGACGACCAGTTTCATTTTTGTTTCGCTTAGTTTTATTTTTATTATTATTTTCATTATTTCTTTTTGGGGGCTTGCATAACCAGCGCGGCATGCAGCATGCAGCGTGCAGCTTGCGGCAAGTGCGCAGAAACATTTGCAGTTTTGCAGCTGACAAAAGCGCAGAGCCCGTCGATCCGCTTGATTGCTGCCGTACGTAATTACAAGAAATCAAATATCAAGAAAAAAACATTAAAAAAAAAAAACAAAAGCAAAATACAAAAATGCGAAAAACAAAAAAAAAACTTGAAAAACTGCTAAAGCACAAATTGCAGCTGACTGCAGTTAGGGCTGGGGGCGTGGCAGGCTGAGGGGCGGGCAGTGCAGCGCAGCGCGGCGCAGCAAGAACCGGAAAGGAAGTGAGCGTGTAAGTTACCAAGACTTTGACTTCGGCTGCGACTTGCTGGAACCCAAGCAAGCCAAAACCGGTTTCCATCGGCTGACGCCAAGGGAACCCGCGCAGCCCTCGCAGCCCGCGAGCCCACCTCCTGCACGCTTCTTGGAAGCACATCGTCAGCTATGCCAAGTCATTCACTTGCAGGCGATACGAGTTTTTCCATTGTGTTTGTTGCTGCTGTTGTTGTTGTTGTTGTTGGTGCAGCGCGCAGGCGCAGCTTTGTTGATAGTGCGGGCGAAGAACAAAACGAAACGAAACGAAATGGAATGAAATAAAACGAAACGAAGCGAAGCACGAGACAAAGCGCAATACAAAATCTTGATAGTTGCCAGCGGCGCAGACGCAGCAGAAGCTAGGCGTGCATTCAAGAACAAAACTGAGCAGCATGGTTATGCACTGAGAGAAATATAGAGTGAAGTGAGAAATAAGCAGAATGAGCGAAGCAGAAGATTTTTATAACTTAAGTATTTTATGCATATAGATATAAAATATTATTCATATATCATTTCATATCAAATATTCATTTATTAATATGACACTGCGAGAAATATTGTGTGAGATAAGAGATCAGTTATGTGCAGCATAGGATTATTATTCATTATTTATTTATATTTAATTTTGTACATAATTCACATTTCAGACTCGTAATTTTTCTCAGTGTATACCTCTAAATGCGTAGCAGAGAAGTGACTTAAGAAAGTTCTTGTTAGGCAAAGGGAAGCAACGATTGGGTTGGGTAATGCATACTGTTCTTTGGTTCTGTACTTCACTCCGTTCCACCTACTCCGCTCTCACTCTCCCCCTCTCTCTCGCTCTCTTCCTCCCCCTCTCCCCCCCGACGGGTGCAATGTGAGGCAGTTTTCTAGCAATAGGCTTTTGGTATGCTTTGCAACGCATGCGTCGAGTGCTTTGGCCCAGCTCGTGTCTAGCTGGAGGTACTTGAACCCCAGAGTACGGAGCACACAAAATGGCGCTGGAGCAGCTACCTTCGGTCGTACATAGTAGTGGAAGCCGACCATTTATGCATGATATATGAATGTAAGCGATGGCAGGCATTGAACTTTGCCCAAGAGTTGCGGCAACGCTAGGCAAAAGGCTAGCGAGTAGGGCCGAGCTGAGGTGCAGTTGTTGAAGCTTTTGGTATTTCATTCGCATTTATCCCAGCAACCGATAACGAACTGAGCTCCACTTAAGCTAAGCTGATTTATGTTTCTGCCCGAAAAAGTGTCAACTGCTCGGCCCAGTGGCCTCCATTCGGGTGTCAGCTGGCTGCAATTTGAACTCAATCGCTGGGCAAATTGATAAGTTAAGGCCCAGTGAAGATGAAGATGGAGAAAGACATAAAGAGAGAGAGAGAGAGAGGTAGAGTGAGGGAAACGCAGACAACATAAACGACAAAGATTTTTTCGAGAATTGCTGGCATAACTTTTGTTTTAACCTTTTAAAAGCGACCGCCGCCCGCTCTCCCCCCTCACTTGTAGACGCGCAGGCAACACGAGACGCGAGGCTTGCGAATGAGTTGGAGACGAAGACGGAGTCACTGTTGGAGCTTTCTGTCTGTTTTGTTATTGTTGTTGATATTGTCATTTACAAGCATAAACGTCCATGACCCTTTGGCCTGTCGCACAGCGAGAAACAGCGCCAGAGTCTGGGTTAGAGCCAGAGCAAGAGAGAGATAGATAGAGAGAGAGAGATAGATAGCGAGAGAGGGAGAGAGAGAGAGGCGCAGGCAGAGACACCACAGAAACAGAAACAAAATCAAAATAAAAACAAATTGAATGAGCAAAAAAATCACAGCTGTTGACATAAAGTTTCAGTTTCAGTTTCAGTTTTTGCTGAGTTCATTAAAAGCCACTGAGAGCTGGTGAAATATGATGGAGCTAGAGATGAAGTGAGAGGACGAGGCATTGATTCGACAATTGAACAGGTTCATCAATAAACCAGAGAGCCGAGTGGGGAGAGTGGGTTGCTATAGAGAGAGAGAGAGATTACACGACCAAGGGATGCTCAGCTGACAGCACGAGCTGCTTTTAGACTGTGAAATATATAAATAGAATATATACAAGTTTAAATAAATATATATTTATTTATGCTTTCATGGTTTTATCTGTTTAACCGCAGCCCTTTCCTGCGTGGCATCAGTCAAATTGAAAGCCGATTTCAATTAAAACACAGACATTTCCTGCAGCGCCATATAAGCGTCATGAGCATGAAAAGACGTGCTTAACAAATAATAAATAATAGCAATAATTATTATTATTGCTATTATGTTTGCAAAGGTTTTATTCGGTTCGACAATGCAAAGCGTTGTCAGCACGTGCGTGTAGGTGTCATCGCCTATGGAGCGAGACAGACATAGAAATGGATAGAGCACAATAGACCGAGAGGGAGACCGAGAGGGAGAGAGAGAGAGTAAGAGAGTAGACGAGGCTTGTGATTCAGTGGCAAATTAGCGTGATTCCAATAAACTCAACACTTGATTTGCTGACTCAATGATAAAGTTCGAAAGTTGTTGAGTGAGTCACTTCGATAGCCAAAGCTTAGACGGAAAGCTGAAGCGTTTAGGCGCATTTGATAACATGATATTGGCCAGCGGCTTATTGGCCTTTGGATACTTCTACTTTTCTGCTGATTTTCGCTCAACTTGGGAGTTTTTTCTTCTATTTCTCATCTCTGTCTCGTTTTCTTCTTTTTGCAGCACAAATTGTCGGTGAATGGGCTGATTTCATAATAATAAAACGCAAACAGCTAAAGAATCGCTTCTCGCTGAGCCAAACTGACGCAATTCAATTTGCCAGCTACAGAGAGCAACAGAGGCGACCACAAGCTCATAAATTGAGATTAAGCAAGAGCACACTGGAGGCTGCAGAGTGCCAGAGCTGAAGCAACATAGCACGAGGGGAGCAGAAGTAGAAAAAACATAACAAATCAATCACTGAGCGCGCTCTCGACGCTCCACACAATTTGCATGAGCCAAAGCATTAGCCAACAGCAGCCGCCGCACCAGCTCAGCCGCAGCCACAGCCAGAGTCGCAGCCAAAGTGGGAGCCACAGTCAGACCCAGAGCCAGAGCCAGGGACAGAGCCAGGGTAAGCGTCGTTCGAGTGGCATTTTATGGCAACTGCGCCATCAGCTGCACAGGCGTAGCACAAGGAAAATGAAAACAATTTCATGATACTACAAGTGGTCCGAATCGGTGCTATTGAACTATCTGAGAATGCCATCGACGCCGTACGATCTGGTGCAGGACGATCAGGACTTGCGCGTGCCGCTTCATGCCGAGCAGGCGTTCTTCCATGGCATCACATTTCAGGCCAAGGTGAGTCGAAGATGACAAATTGAATGGCTCGAGTTTTGGCTGAGTTTTGGCCAAGTTTACATTTACATTTTTTTTCTTCAGTATTTCCCCATTTGAGTAATTTCTAAGCTTATGAATCATTTAACCATTTGTACACATTTCAGTGACTAATCTCATATTTAGAGAGCCATCATTATTTTATAGTCTTCTCGGTATGCGAAACGCTCAAGTCGCATACTAATTCCCAAATGGTTCTGCCATACGCAAAGTAATTTCGTCGGCTTTGTCTTTCAAGTTGTCTTGGCCGAAGGAAGAGGTGTGTCTACCCTCGCACACAATTGCTCATGGTGTGAGTGTCTGTCAGTTTGTGTGCGTGTGTATGTGCTTGAGCAACAGCTCCATTTCTCTTTTATCGCAACAATATCCGCTCGTAATTGGCATATCCATTGGCCATGGCCGAAACGTATATTTACTAAAATTTACTAAAATTTAAATTTCTTTTCTTCTCGTTTGGCAATTATTTTCATATCATTGTTGCAAACGTGGCCAACACACATACACACACACACACACACATACGAATACTAGCACAATCAATTATTTACAATTTTATAAATGCAATTATATATATTTTTGCAATTGAATTGAGGCAGCTTTGTTGTTGAGGTTGTTGCTGACGGAAGCATCGGTTACATGAATATCCCCTTCCCCATATATTTATATGGGAAGTTTTTATGCACTGCCAACAATGGCTGAGAGGGGTATATCGGGGGTGTGGGCAGTGCATGCTCGTTTGATGAACTTGCACTTTGTCAGACTCATTAGCCTGGGGGTCTTTGCTGCTGACTTTGTGGCATCACAGTGAGTCATTAAAATCAATATACACCAAAGGTGTTTGGCTCTTAAGTGGTTATACAATAAAGCTGACTAACTGAACGAGCATGCTGCAGTCGCTTATACCTGATCTAATATTCTGACTGGTTTTGTTTTTACTTTGTTTTGTTTTGTTTTTGTTTTTTTTTAATTTTATTTGAGCATTCAGCAAGTTAGTCAACTGTCACATGGCCAGACATGTTGTTGTTGTTTGTGCTGAGAGGGGAAAATGATAAACAAATTTCCATTTTGTGTATGTGTGTGTGCGTGTATGCGTTTACTCGCATTCAATTATTCAGGAACGCATGGCGAGCATTTGTTTAGTTCTTTTTGTTTTGTATTTGGCTGTATTTTTATTTTTATATGTTTGTTGTTGTTTATTATTTTTGTGCAATGTGTGGAAATTGTTTGCGTGCCAAGCTCATATTCCATATATGTTTATATACACACACGCACATATCAAAGTGTATGTAAGTACAGTTATTTTTATGCTTTGGTCAGTTGAAGTTGATGGTTTTTGATTTTGATTTAATTTGATTAGCTCGCGAGGGCGGCTAAGTGCGAAGCCAATGACCCTTTGGCAGTCATATGTATATTCGGCTAGTTACTAGTGGGCCATGTTTCCCAGCGGCTCACGAATTGTTGTTGCTGGAGTGCATTGAGCTTTGACTTTGTCGACTCAATGGCATCTTTCTCTCACTCTCTGTCCCTCTCTTTCTGTCTTGATGCCACACTTTGTATGCAAAGCGCTTGACATTAGTCGGCAGCATTGAGACAGCCATAGTCTCTGCCTCTGCATTATGTGAAACACATTGCACTTGGATTGGGAGTTGTTGTTGTTGTTGTTGCTGGTGCAGTTGTTGTTGCTGGTGCAGTTGCAGTTGCAATTAAATGCACTCAGTTGCTTAGCCAAATTGCCGTGAAGCAGCGCTAAGACCCACGCTAACAACAAACAGCCGAAACAATTTGCATTGGCGTAGAGGCGGCGGGGGCGTGGCATGTCTGCCACTGTAGCCCTCACGTATGTGCATAGGCTCTTTGTGTCGCCATCCACGTGTTGTTTGTTGTTGTTCACCGTTGTTGTTGTTGTTGTAGCACGCTGCTATTTGCATTTGCCATAAATGAAAAGCAAGCAAAACACAAAGTTTTGCACTTTTCCGATGCTCGTTTTGCTTTCAGCTGTATACCGTTAGCCCAACTATATACACAAAGCGGCATATCGCGCATATGATATGCTTGGCTGGCTAACCCAAATAAGATACACACAACTCGGGCAGATAACAGTTTTAAAGACTGCCTGCAGTGCATACAGCAGATTGTTCTTTCGTTGCCTTATTTCGGTTTTCTTTTTTTTTTTTTTTTTTTTTTTTTTAGCTGTGTCAGCCCAACTGATTCATCTGCGTCGCAGGCTCAAATAACGAGTGTGAGTCATGAGTGTTTGTGTTCGGGTGTGTGTGTGTGTGTGTGTGTGTATGTGTGGCTGTCATTGAAGACATTATTTATGAGAGGTATCGGACAGGACGCCACTTATAAATATATTTATGCCACAGCCTGCAAATCTCGCTCTCTCACACTCGCATACACAAATCCCGCAATCGCCAGCCTCTAACTTTGYCTGCCCTGACTTTTGCTTGCTTAGATTAATTGAATTTCACGCTTTGATTTCGCGCCATAAGAAAATTGGTTAGCTGCTGCCTCTGCCGCTGCCTCTGCTCCTGCTGCTGCTGCTGCTGCTGCTGCTGCCGCCTCCTTGTGGGCCATGCCGCATAAATCTTTCAAAAGGTGTATAAATTATTCGCTCTCACGCACTTGGCTTGGCGCCGTGTTTTTCTTTCGCACTTTTTTTTTTTTTTTTGTTTCGTTTTGGTTTTTGTAGCTTTTTGCTACTTTTTGGTTTTCTGCCTGCTCGGCAACATGACGTATACTTAACTTTTGTAGCGCGGCGATTTCCTGCAAGTTGGCTCTATCAAAAATTTATTGAGCAAGCCCTCAAGTTCGATTCGATTTATGTTTCCGCACACAGTTTCCGTTATTTTGACGCGCTTTTCCACACTCGGCTCATCAATTATTTAAGTTGAGGCTCTGTCATAGGTGTTTCCCCTGGCTACGTTGCCTCAGTCCTCTTTGCTTTATTTATGTGCGCCTCGATGTGCGCGTGTTCAGCTTAATTTACAATTTGTTTCTATATTAACCCAAAATAGCATTTAAATTTGACAATATTTTGACTCGCTATGAAAAATATACTGCTCTTGATATATACATACATATATGTATGTATGTATGTATGTATTTTATCACCTTAACTGAATGCCCTCAGACTTCGATCCGTAAGTAATTTCCTGCAATTTCCATAAAATTTTCGAATTTTATGCTGATGGTATTTTGAATACAGACATGAACATAAATCCAATTGAATGATTTGCCACCCGCCGCCTAAAACAATTTGCCTTTTCGCCATCTTACAAAACTCTCGTTGCTATTTATGAAAATGTTCGGTTTATGTATTTAGCCATTATTATTGTCTGTTGCAAAATTAATTATTCGATATTAAGGTGAAGGTGAGACGCATCCGATCCAGAATGACGAACATCTCAAGACGCTGAACATTTCAAAAATATACAATATTCTTTATATATAGACACATAAAAAATATGGCGCATAAAGAAAAATATTGAAAAACATATAAAAAGCGAGCACAGAGTCTGCGGTCCACGTGCTGCCTGTCTCTCTCAATGTGTGTGTGTGTGTGTGGGTGTGTCTGTCTGTGTGTGGGTAATTTTTCACATTTGTTGTGTTTACCCATTTTCCATTTGGTGTGTGCGTACGCAAAATTATGAATTTTCATATGGAACGTCGGTGGCGTATACGCAATGTTTCCGCTCTGCTGCTGCTACTCCTGCTGCTACGGCTGCTTCTGTTGTTGCTTTTTGTTTTGTTTATCTAAGTGGCACATGCAGCTTCTGCTCGTTTGTTTTCTGGCCAACCAGGGACGGTGGGAGCAACGGCCAAGAAAACTGCCTCTTCATATATCAATTTCAATTATCTGCCCTGGCTGCTGGTTGGAGGCGGTGCCAAAAACCCATCTTTGCTATATAAGTTATTGGTTGAGCGTCGAAAAGGACAAAACCCGAAAAGGATTATGCGGCGTGCAATTGGGTCCTGCTGCTGGCTTTTATCAGCCACAACTGACACGGCCAGACGACCCGGCCAGCCACCAGCCGCCGGGCTACTATGGCTCGAGGGCACAGGGGACGAGGAGGAGGAGGCGTGAAAAATGAGTCATAAAATGCAAATAAAATCTCAAGTGTCCTTTCGGAGCGACAGCGACAGACTTTGCTGGGCCTTGTATATGTCACTGTCAGGATTGCTTTTCACTTTTGGCTTTGTGCAGACTTGAAGACGCTTTAAGAATTTCATATTTTCCACTGCCGCAAGACAAGCAGAATGATTTCAGGTGTTTGCTTAACCTTTACCACCAAAGTTCAATCGGCTCGTTAAGTCGGCGAGCTAAACATTTAGCAATTTTCCTCGATTTTCCGGCAACAGTTTTCAGCCATTGGCATTGCGCCATCAATTTGCGAATCTGTTTAGATTTCGTCTGGTCTAGATGGCAAAAATGAATACACTTTATGTGCAGCAACTTTTGTTGCACTATTAAAACAACAATGCCCCTGGCCGCTCACTCGCTCCCCTCTGCTCACTCTACTCCTGCTATAAACAAACACAACCTGCTGCTGCATATTGTTGTTTAAATATGAATCTATATATATCGATATTTATCAGCCACTGCCTCTGGCTATA